GGTGCATGCCAACAGGCTTTGGCGTTATCACGATCCAGGACATTTCAGTTGGAACGAAGTGAACAACTGAACAAATGACGCTGCTGAAGACGTGCCACCTGAAGAAGCCACTGTCAAAGAAGAAACTGTACTCGATTTGAGAAGGGAAATGGGGAAGCCCTTGATGAAGTTACGACCACTGATGTGACTGTTACCGATGATAGGACATTTCTTGATGAAGCAGAAGCCAACGAGACGGAGGCCAGTACGGAAGAAGATATGTCCCGTAAAATTAAGAGACTTTGTTTAATTGTAATTTTGTGTTTGTAAATTCTGTACATTTAATTAAGTTGTTGTTAATTGTTTATTGGTTTAATGTAAGTGGCTATTGTTCGGGACGAACAATACTAAGGAAGGGGCAGTGTTACGACAGCGGAGATCACGTGACGCTAGTAACACGCCACGCACTTCTAGAACGTTCATGAAGCGTCGGGAGACTACTAGATGTGGGGTAGTCTTGTATATATATATAAGACGGTCACAATGTGTAATTAAACAGTGGACAGACTATTGTTGAGTTGAGCACGTGAGACGTTCGTTGTGAATTATAGCGTTTGTTATAGCGCGACTGTGGAAATTAAGTGTATTGCAAAGTTGTATTCAGAAAGAATAAACCAGTTTTCTTTAAGAAAGGACTTGTGTCGCTAAAGTTTCGTCGGAACGAAATTTACGGAAAATTAACTAACGAACGGAGACGTAACACTTCCTTTCGTCTTAGAATTTCAATTTTTTCATTGTTGTTCAGAGAGTTTCATTATATACTGATTGCACGATGAAAACGCAACAGTCTTAAGTCTTACATCCACAGCTCATTGAGCAGTGCGCACGTACACGTTTTTTACATTTTAATTAAGTAGCGAGCAAATTTTGGTTGTTTGAGTAGTATTGTTCTTTGGTATAACAAAATACTAAGTTATGTGACTTCATAAAAACGTCATGTGCTAAGTGTGAATGTAATGGCAATTTTGACGTTTTTCTAACCAGACTTATATCTGAATTGAAGGAAATCAGATTTTTTCGTGAATTCCTCTTCCTGTTTTTCAACTATGATAACGCTAATCATTCTGCTGGTCGTGTATACCCTCATCTTTTAGTTATATAACCGCACCATTTTGTCCAGTTTATTTTCTAGTCGTTAACGAGTATATTTTAATCTTTTTGTTATAAAAAATAAATACAGCTTCTTTCATTTACTATTACTTAACTTTACTGACTCATATAATTTACTTACGATTGACTCAGTGATCAATAATAATCCACTCTAGCCTAATCTGCGTTTCATACTAGTCAAACTGTTCTAAAACTTTAGAGAAGTTACAGACTTTAAGCCACATCACGTGATATCTAACCTTCCTATGCTCGAACAACAATAAAAAGCCTACAACAAATTAATTATTTTACAAAATGTCACTATTTAACGAGAAATTAGCCAATTATTATAGTAAAAACAGGATACACATTTTGTACTTACCCAAAAAACTCAGCAATAGACAACACATAGTGATGATAAGAAGCCAGATCTGAGCTCGCACGTAGTTGTCTCTCTTTTTGACACAGGTTCGGAAGCTATCTTTTATATTCTCAAACGAAAGAAGATCTTTTATCAAATCCTTTGTTTTAATTTGCTGCTCATATTTTTGCTCATCTTTGATAAATATCAGAACCCAGAGAAAGGAGGTAACAACTGCTCCTAATGATACAGCGAACACACTTACGTATCCATAAGATTTGTACAACTGACCACCGACTTCAGTTCCTAGGGGAGCTCCTAGAACGAATGATACTTCTAGGAGAAAGAATTTTAGTGTCCGGTAGTTCTCAGAAGTATTTTCTGAAGCCATGCTGAATACTGAGCCAAGGATGGTAATCATCCCTGATGTTAAACCTGATGGTATGGCAGATAAAATGGTGTAATAGAGAGGCAAGTCAAAGTAAATGGCAGTTAACAAGTAACCCAGGAGTTCAAGAATAACCCCAAAAGTAGCAATCAATATAGGCATTTTTCGGCCATGCTTGTCGCTCCATGGACCAATTATCACTGATAGAAATATGGCCGGAATAGTAGCTACCAAAGTAGTCATCAAGGAATAATTGTTGGCGACTCTCATTACATCGTCTTCTTTCAAGGTGTAGTTAGACAAATTGGAACAGACTTCTGTTGGAAATTGAAAATATAGTCGACAAGCCTTGTCTTCAAGAAGGTTCTGGAGGGAAACCCGTCGTGCTGACTCACCAAACATGAATAAGAAGAGGAAAGGCTCGATCCTCAAAGTTTTCACAATCCGAAGGTAGAATTTGAAGTATGATACTTTTTCTTGAATACATTTGTTTTCGTTTTCCTGAGGTAGGCTTTCAATTTCGTCTTCCATCATAAAATTAGAGAAACGCGATGATCTATTCCTACAGAATGCTTACAATAATTTGTTAAATCAGCTAATTCTCAACAGCTCTTCAGACAGTAAAATCACATAAAGAATTAATACTTTGGGGCTATTATATGTCAGTTACATAATATATAAAATCCCCATCTTTTATAATTCTGAAATTTTAGAAGTACAAAAGTAAAATAAAATACTGTAATAAAAAGTTATTGTTGTCTTGTTTCAGCTCAAAACTTGTACGTACAATAAGCTATATGCACCATCTGCCGCAGAATCGAACTCCGAATTTTAGCACTGTAATCTCATAAGAGTACACTGCTGAGCGACCAGGAACCTGTAATGAACATAAGGAAAAAACTACAACATGAAACAAACCTTTCACTATCTTCATTTAGGAGTAATTTTATTAATTTTTTAACCCTGCGGTTAACAAATCCGGAATCTTCACGAACCCAAATATTTTGTAAACATCGACGCAAACAGATAGAAGCACGTACATATTTGTTGCTCTCAGTAGCTTCACTATTCGGTTAGTTTTTGTTAAATTGTTGCACTTAGTTTATATGGTAAAAGATAAACAAGTTGTAATATTCGCTGTTCATTTATTGATTAATAAAGGAAAATATTTTGAGTGTTAGTGTTTTTTGTTTTCAAAATAATAGTTTATTATTATTATTTAAATATCTTAAAATTATTTTTTTATGATGGGGTCTGTACGGACCTCGGAAGAGTGACTATGGAAAACCTTTACAGAAGACTAACTAACGCAGGGTTAACTGAACGATGGTCATTAATCATAAAATATAGGTTGTTTATTTTTTCAAGCATTCAGTACTTTATCCTTACATACGTTAACGTTGGTTTTTTTTTGTTGTTGTTAAGCGCAAAGTTACGCAATGGGCTATCTATGCTTGCCCACTTTGGGTACTGAAATTCGATTTTTAGCGTTGTATTAGTTAGTTTGTTAGTTTTTTAGCCCGAAGCTTCAGAACGGGCTCTCTGCGCTATGTTCACTGCGAATCCCGGGTTTTAGTGTTGTAAGTCAGGAAACCCAACTCTAACCGACTGGGAACTTTGAGACAAACAGTTTGTTTATTTGTTGTTAAGGGAAAACTACATAATGGGCTATCTGTGCTGCGCCCGACACGAATATTGAAACCTGGTTTTTAGCGTTGTAAGCTTATTTATTTGTTTAAAGTTATGCACAAAGCTACACCATGGGCTATCTGTGCTCTGCCCACCACGGGTATCGAAGCCCGATTTCTAACGTTGTAAGTCCGCAGGCATACCACTGTGCCACTGGGGCGCGCGTTGTAAGCCTTCAGACTTACCGTCGAGCTACCGAATGGGTGGGGACATGCACTAATACGTTAGGTGGTGAACAGATGATTCTCAGTTATATGAGATATCTATTATCAATAATTGATATTTATTGTAAATTTTCGATCACTGTGCACATGTCCGTCTTTAATATTTGCTTTCTTCTGGGTTTTTTTTAACTATCATTGTAAAGCTCACAAAAAATAACAACCTTCGAGAGACAATTGTATAGCAAATAAATTAAACGTACTATTAGTTTTAGATAAAATATAATTTCTTTGATTCTCTATCATTATGTTAAAAATACAAAATTGGAGAATAAAGCGTCATGATGTTAGACAATAACAAATATATATATTTCTTGGAACTTCTAGACAAATGGTCTGTTTGTTGTTAAGCACAAACTACACAATGAACTATCTGTGCTGTGCCCACCACGGGTATCGAAACCTAGTTCTTAGCGTTATAAGCCTCCAGACTTCCTGTTGAGTCACTGGGGGCTCGAGACAGCCGAAAATAATTAATGTGGTATAACATAATTGAAAATTTGAAATCCTAAATCTTTGAAAACAAGCGGCATTTGAAAGTTAATATATGAAACTTCACACGATATTATACAGTTTTCATTTAATTCGAAGTAAAAATATAAATATGTTTGTTTTTGTTCTTTAGCACAAAGCCACACAACGGACTATCTGTGCTCGCGGGGAATCGAGCTTCGGATTTCAGCTTTGTAAGCTTTTAAACTTACTGCTGATCCACCGGGGAACAATGATAGAAATATGATTTTTCTGATATTCTAAAATACAGTTTTACAGGTTAATTGGTTCTGAGACATGTAAGTAAAAAATAACGTGTAAGAATGTACAGTTGTTTTTGGAGTAGCATTAAGCCCCCTGGTGGTTTCCATACCCCATTGTATAATCTAGTGCTTAACAAGAAACAAACAGACAAGAATTAAACTACAAGTCAACTTAATTTATTATCGCATACTATTTTATATCAATCTTTCAATGTAAGATTATCTTAGCATTCATTGTTATGTAATAAACAATTGATAACGATACTGCATACAGTGCTATTGTAGAAAACATTTGCATCGAATGCAAACAGAAAGTAAAATTGTATTTATTAAATGTTCAGATTCTATACTCATATAAAAACGTAAAACTCAAACAATCATTCACTGCATCAAACGTATATATCTGAGAGTTCAGTAAAGGCACCTCGGTGGCTCAGCAGCAAGTCTGAGGGCTTAAAACGCTCAAAGTCAGTTTTCGATACTCGTGGTAGACAGATCACAAACAACCCATTGTGTAGCTTTGTACTTTAACAATAAACGAATTAATCCTAATAAAGTTGTTATTTTTATCGCACTGCTACACAATGAGTTATATACGCTCTGTCCACTGTGGGGAATCGAACCCTCAATTCTAGCATTGTAAGCCTGGAAACTTACTGCTGACCCACTAGGGGACGGGGACCCTAAAACTAGCTTGTCAGTATAAATAATAACATAGATAAATACTAAGTTTTGTATTTTGTTTCTAGGTGTAAATTTTTAACCACTTGAAATCTACCAAAGTAAAAACACTAAAATCTTATTATGTTGGTGATTGAGAATCCAGCCACTAATTATATAGATGGTACAAAAACCATTATCCTTATTATTTGCATACATCTCTTGATGAAAACATTCCTTTAACTTTACACCCCATCCCCCATTGCGGGAAATTATAAACAAACAAAGTTAAGCTAATACAATAAACGAAAATGTTATCGGTGTAGATAAATGTATCTACACAAAAGCTTTCATATACACACTTTTATCATCTACTGTAATTTGTACAATTATTTTCTATCCACGGTCTATATTCAACTTTCAACACTTAAACAACTTTTAAGTGTTGAAATTTGAATATAGACTGTGGATATTTTGAAACACATACTGACCTGGTAAATCGCTTTAGTATTCGACACAGAACCTAGGTTGTAGTATATTATGATGATCTAAGTACAAAACGCATAATGAAATCCAAACTAAGTGTTATTTAAAATTCGGTTTATGCGAACACAGCGCTTTCATAGAAGCTGTAGCATCAGAAGGTTCTTCGGTGAGTACACAGGAACATTAGACTAGCACGTGATAGTTATACTTCTGCCACAGATTAGTGTTATCACAGAACCCCAAAGGTCCTTCGGAAGCTGAAAAAGGAGGAGGAGGCACCATTGTAATTCCTACAGAACTTGCATTCTTAACGATAAACATAAAACCAACCTTTGCACAGCTGGCTCAAAACAAAGTTATTTTATTATCTATTAACACTGCTTTCACCTGTACTACATAACAGTCATTTCTATGACACTGACTGAGTTCAAATACAACGTCCTTTATAACTGAACGGTGACTTTATGAAAGTATAAAATATAACCATAGTCAAGATGGTTGCTACGTCTATACACAGTGAAAATACTGTTGTTGAGTGTTTAATAATTTAATATAGGCAAAGTGTTTTTCCAAACATTATATAAAAAAAGATAAATCAAGCTCGTAGGAAATGAGATTCTCATCTCTCCTCAGGCTCGTAGTAACGGGGAGGGGAGGGGAGTCTGGTCCATCCAAGAACAAAAAAACAACAAGCTACGTACATTGAGCATTACATATAAAGTCACATATATCTCCAACATACGAATATGACATCTCGTTTTAACAATATTAACCATGTTACTGTATATTTCTTTCTAACTGAGTTACAAAAAACAATGTTTTGATCATGATCAATATAACATATGAATACTGTATTATTAAGAACAGTTTTGTTTTTTTTTATTCTGGAGGACACCGTATGCCAACGTTGGAGCCTGTCAAGATATAAAAGACTGTTTAGTTCAGATAGTATTGATTAATTTAGTTTTATGAGAGAATGTTTTATCATTGTTTAGTTTTTGTCATAATAAGAGTTAAAATCAGATGATTGTAGGAAAATTTGTTAATAATTCATTGATGTTGACACTATCGAACGTCACGTGCAATATATATTGATGTCGAGAACATAAAAGGTGGACAAACGATTAGGTATTGTTACGTATCTGGTCGTTTGTTAATTTCCGGTATAAATTCTTTCCGAGGAACTTCAGCGATACAAGTCCTTTCTTAATTAAAACTAGTTTATTCTTTCTCAATAATACTTTGTAATACACTGAATTTCCAGAGTCACTTTAAACTTAACAACCTTTATAACACACGCTTTAAATCACACTGATTCACACACTTTACTTACGGTGCCTACTGTTGGCTTGACTCATTTAGCTATATCTTCAATTTATCTGCCTCTCTATTCTTTATTTGCCGGGCTTATATACTAAAAAAGAGGGCGTCCCGAACCACTACGAAATTCACGATCATTCGAGAAACTCCTTGCACACACTACAAGCGCCAATGCACCAGGAGCGTCACGTGACTTTCGCTGTCATTTCAGTTGGAACGAAGCGAACAACAGAACAAATGACGCTGCTGAAGACGTGTCATCTGAAAAAGCCACTGTCGAAGAAGAAACTCTACCCGGTTTTGAGAGGAAAGACGGTGAAGCCGTTAATGAAGTTACTACCACTGATGTGACTGTTACCGATAATGGGATATTTCCTGATGGAGCAGATGAACCCACGTGAAGCAGAAGCCAATGAGCCGGAGACCAGTACGGAAGAAGATACGTCCTGTAAAATTAAGAGGCTTTGTTGTATTTTAATTTGGTGTTCGTAAATTCTGTACATTTAATTACGTTATTGTTAATTATCTATTGATTTAATGTAAGTGGTTATTGTTCGGGACGAACAATACTAAGGAAGGGGCAGTGTTACATCCTGGACCATAATAATGCCAAAGCCTGTTGGCATGCACCACCTTTGGCTTACCTCGCCAACCACATTTTATCCGGAAAGTCACGTCTGAGAGACGATTCACTATGTCATATGGTCCTTCCCATGAAGAAGACAACTTAGGAGACTTCCCTTTCGTCTTCCTGGGATTATACAACCATACCTTGTCTCCTGGAACAAAGCTGACTTCAGTAAATTTCTTATCATAACATAGCTTCATGGAATCAGTAGACGTTTTCAAATTTTAACAAACTTGATGATGAATGTCATCCATCATTTCAGATAACACTTTCACGAACTCTGACACATTTTCAGGCACCTCTTCGTAAGGTGGGCGTCCTGTAATCAGGTTTACTGGCAACCGAAGTTCCC